CCGGAGCCCTCTGCCCGGGTTGGGGGTGCGGGTGGAGCGGGGCTGGGTTGGCCCGGGCGGGTTGGGGTGGGGCGCAGGAGGGTCTTGAGCTGGGAGCAGCGCGGCTCCCGCGGGGCAAAGCGTCGTCGGGGCTGGCGCAGAGGCCCTGGCCCCGCGGGAGGGCCCAGCAGTGAGAGGGGTGCACGCGTTTCAAGGGCTGCCTGTGCCTGGCCACAGCTGGGTGAAATCCTGGCTTAGTGTACCAGTCACAGCTGGAGAGATGTGCGTTAGATGAGGACCGTAAACCATTGTTTGCCAACAGAAGGGCTAGATCCCCACCAAATGTGACACCCCAACCCAGCCGGCCCCCTCGGGGCCTGGTGTAGGAGCTCAGGCAGAAGATCTCGGGGGTGCCCTGCCCGGGCGGGTCTGTGCAATCCTGCCCCTCAGGAGCCCTGCCTGGAATCCGCCATGCAGATGAAAGGGCCCTCCAGAGTCTGGCCCAGACAAACACGCTCACCCACGGGGAACAGGCCCAGAGTTTGGGGGCCCCTTCGAGACCCCCTAACCTGGTTGGTGCATAAGCCTCGTGAGCTGCCCTCGTGCGCAGCTGAGATGGTCCCTTGGCAAGACTTTAAATACAAAGAGAGCGGTCTGGGGGGAAACACACAGAGGGAAGCTGGGGGGGGGTTACACAATAGTGTTACCCAACTCCCAGTCCCTTCCCTCCTCCTCTGTGAGAGCTTCCTCTTGATCTCGATCTCCACTATTGTGAACCCCTTGAGCTTGGTCCCCTCCCCGGCCTTCTTCCCCCCCACTTCCCTTTGACGTCCTGCAAGAGCGACCCCCTCCTGTGCTCTGCTGCTGCTCTTGAATATCTGGCCTCCCGTCAAGCTGGTTGGCCTGGCAGGGGGTCCTGGACTCCGGGTCTGTCTGTCTGTCTGGGGCCCCCCAGGGGCCTCCCTGAGAATGGATTCCTTTAGGAAATACTCTCAAAAATCCAAGGATCAAAGTGAGGGGCCCCTTTCTAGTCCTTTTAGAGAGCACTGTTTTATATCATGACCAACTTTTCTGCATTCCTTCATGATAAATCCATGTTTCTCATCCTTGGCCACTTTAAGCTGTATGGCTGGGGAATTCTGGGAGTTGAAGTCCATACTGCTTAAAGTAGCCAAGGTTGAGAAACACTGTGCTAAATGTAAGCTTTTCCAGGATGCTCAATGGGATTTTTTGTAGGGAAGATGTCAAACAGGGATCAGACGGCTGTTGTGAGCGGGGAAGGGGGGATGCTATATTATGGATCCCTGTGCTGAGTGGAGGGTGGGCTTGACGGCCTCACTGCACCCTTCCGCCTCTGAGATGCATTGCATGCTTGTGGGAGGGGGTCCACAGGGTGTGGTCCAAAAAGTCAAGATGATGCAATCGAAGCTCGGCCTGTTTTTTGCGATGCTCATAAAAAGACAGGCAGAGCAGGGCTTTGGTTGCACCAGGTGGCCACAGCCCTGACTTTCTGGATCACGGCCTGTGGACATGCCCCTGAGGTGGATGTTAGTTCAAAACTTGAGAAAGGGACTTGTAGTCCACAAAACCTGGGGATCCCTCAAGATGCCAGCAGGGTGGTGTGGATGCCAGGCTACTGAAAGAGTATCTGCTTGACGCAGCGGGGGGTGGAGGTCCGGGCAGCCGCGGTCTGCCTGGAAGCCCTGGCCTGAGTCCCAGGAAGGAATGGCCCGACGGAAAGGCGTGGACAACCAAATCCGATTTCCCAGCTCTAGTGGAGAGGGGAGGAAATTGAATCAGGCGCTCGCTCGAGGCCAGTGGCGAGACTTTGGCGGATGAGATCCGTCCCCTTGACGGCGCCTCGCCCGCCAGCCGGTTGCCGTGATGGTTCAGTGAGCCTCCCCAGGAAGCACGCCTCTCTTCTGGAAGGTGAAGGCCAGTTTCCCGAGGTTGGGTCCCCTGAGGCTTGGGACCAGCCTCGAAGAGGGCGAGGGAGGCTCTCACCGGGTCCTCTGGATCAGCTCTGGGGGGACAGGCAGGACAACGGCCGGCGGGAAGGGCGTCAGCCATGGCTCCCCCCGCTTGGCACATTTGTCTTGCACGTATGCGCTTTTGTCCCCCAGATGTAAACAACGTGCTTTGAGTTCTTGGCCAGCACAGTGTCTTTGATGCGGACAACAACTCTGAAGGGGGATAGTAGGAGTTCGTTTGCTGTCTGCAGAGCCAGTGACATTCCCTGGCCAGAAGAGTTTATCCCCAAACCTGGATTAAGAAGACAGAATTGCAGAGTCCGCATAACATACAAGGTGAACCCAGATCATTGTACACGGGCTGAATAGGATGGTCTGCTTCATACAACTTGTGAAGACACAAAAGGTTGAATCATAAAGTACCCAAGTCCATTCTGATTACGTTGTTGCTTCACAATCTTTATATTGTTACATCTGATGATTTTAATTTGCACTGTGCTAAGTGGTTTTCCACACACAATTGGGGGATTACAAGTACTGTTACACAAACACACACCTAAATAAGAATTTTAGTTTGGTCTACCAAGTTATGCAAGCCCAGCTGTTGAGTTGCCACACATAGGTGGACTTGGGGATGAGGAGTAACAAAATGTGCACCACCCATCACAATACAAACGCTTGCATTTTATGGATTTGTCTGACACTGGGATTCAAGTATGAAAGAGCGAGGTTAGTTCCAACAGAAGAGACTCTCTGGAGCTCAGGGCTGAACTGTGGAGTCCTTGGGGCTCTCTGAGCTTGGCTGTTTGCTTGCAGACGTTTCATGACCCAACTAGGGAACATCACCAGCACTGACGATGTTCCCTACTTGGGTCATGA